GGCTCAGCCCATGCATCCACTGGGGCATGGATGGGGATGGCCATGGCACGTGCCAAGGAGCACATGTGTGCAAGCCAACGCACACCAGCGTGTAAACACAACTGACGCACATGGACGCACAGCAGCAGGCACGAGGTGAGAGTGGACACAGGCACACCCATGTGCAAGGCTGTGCCAAAGCGTGTGTCCACACCTGTGCTGGGTGGGCGCAGGCATTGACCTGTGCAACGGGACCATGCCACACAGGGGCCCAGAGGAGCCTGGGTGGCATGTGCCATGTGTGCACGCCAGCACCAACACATGCAGGATCCCCATGTGCACATGCAGGGATGAATACTTGAGCACACGCATGTGCAAGCTTGTGTGCACAGGAGACAGGGGATAGACATGAGCCACCGACGTCCCCCACACCAAGCCAAGCCCAGGGTGCCACCCATGTACCCAAAATGCTGACATTCCCTCATTGTGCCCACCCCACCCAGCTGGGAGCTGGGCAGCGGCATCACTCCAAGGACTCCAGGAGACCCCTGGCACTACAGCGAGGGGCGCAGGCCACCAGCGCCGGGGACAGTGCAGACCCTCACCCAAGTCCTGCAGCTCAACATGGCCCAGGACGTAGAGGCCACTCTTCTTGAGGTCATTGACGAAGTCAATGAGGCGGGCGCTGCCCCGCGGGTTCTGCACCATCAGCAGCATCTGCGGGCGCCAGAACTTGACGTGGTCCTTCCGAACGTCCAGCATCAGCAAGTACTTCCGCACCTGGAGGGAGGGAGGACAGCAGGTGAGGAACGAAGGTTCTTTTAACAAACCACCCATAGGGATGCCAGCCCCAAGGACTCAGATCGCCCAGGACAGAGCTGCCACAGGGACACCAGCTCTCCACCCCATGAGGGGACAACAGAGGACAGAACTCACCTGGTGGAAGATGAGGGCCTGGCTAATGTAGCCCCAGGTGCTGCTGGGCGAGAGGTAGTGCAGGGCGAGGAGGAGGAGGAGGAGGAAGCCCAGGCTTGCCGAGGCTGACACGGGGCTGATGAGGAACATCATGACGCAGCAGCCCGCAATGCCCAGCAGGCACGTGTGCCAGGTGAAGTACCGGAAGGTGGGCCTGGAGCAGGGAGAAGGGGACACTCGCTAGAGCACAGTTCCCATGCCAGCTGCAGGGCAGGCATGGCAAGGGGGGGCTGTGCCAAGGTGCTACAGCCAAGCCACCCCCAGTGAACCCCACTGTGCCATCCCTGGGCATGTCGGGCACCCGAGATGCCTGTGGGAGAAGGCACAGAGGGGAGACGGTACCTCCCAGGGCACTGGGCAGCCTCTTGCTCCAGCCCCTGGTAAAGAGGGGTATAAAGATGCTTATGGGGCTGGAACTGCCTTGGCACACCCGAGGGGCCAGGTAGTGCCAGGCAGCATGTGGCAGCGCCAGCGGCCATGGTGCCTGCTCAGCCTGGTGCAGGGAGGCAGAAGCTGTTATTTTCTCTAATTGTTGTTTTTCCTGAAAGGTAATTAAAATCCTTTTCCGCTGCGCTTGATGGAGACCTCAGTGTGGGGAGGAGGGCGCACCAGATGTGGGGCGGGCAAGGGGACTGTCACCACCCACCCCAGCAGCCACCCACCAGGCACCAATCCTGCCCGATCCCTGCCTGGCCAAGGAAGCAGCGGGGGGGCAAACTCCAGCCTCGCACAGACACCCATGGAAACGGGGCACTCTGGAGGACCCCTGGACAGTGCCACTCAGCCCTGCTTGGGCACCGCCTCTGTCCCACCTGGGGGACTCTCCCTGGAGGCACAGCACCCTGCACCGAGGGCAGCCGACATTGCCCAGGAGGGAGATCATGCTCCCCCCAGTCACCCTGCCATGCTCTCCTCACTCCCCGTCCCAGATTTGGGCAGCCCTGTCAGGTCAGCCTCATGCCAGGGTACCCCATGCCCTGCGCCCCAGGCTGGGGTTGCCTGCCATGCACAATCCTCCTTCCTGGAAGATCTTTTCTCTTCCCCTCCCACCCAGGATCCCCCTCCCTTCCCCTTCTCCGTTAGTTTAATTAGCACTAATGGAAAGTGGGCTCCATCACCGCTTGGCGAGCTGCCCGGGGGATGCCGGGCGGGCACAGGCTATAAATTACCTCCGGAAAGCCTAAGGGGAGGGGGTGGGTGGTACCCAGTGGTGCTGGATTTATCTGTACCCGCTCAGCAAAGCGCTGCCAGGGCATGGGAACTGTGCCAAGCCAGTGCCATGCTGAGACCTGTCCCCTTGTCCCTCCCCAGGGACGGAGGTGTCTCTGGCCCCGCTAATGCCCAGGAGAGGGGTGCTCAGCATCTCTGCCCCACGGAGGAGCAGTGGGCTCAGGGATGGCAAGGAAACTGCAGACAGACAGATGGACAGATGGTCGCCTGCCCAGCATCTCAGCGCAGCCTCCCTCCCTTGTGCCAACAGGTACCTGAAGTTGGGGGCCGATGCCCACTCCAGTGCCAGGCAGGCCAGGTTGACGGTGGCGTAAACCAGAAGGAAGAAGGTGGTCACAACCCCCGCAATGGTATTGAGCTTCCCAGAGAAGAGCACCAGCTGCAGAGAGCACAGGGGGACACAGGGTAAACGCACCCCGAGATGGCACCCGTGGCACGTGCCTGAACCATCCATGCCGAGCTTGGGGCAAGCCACAGCGGTGTGCCAGGAAAGGGCATGGGCACTGCCACACAGGCAGGAATCCCTACCCCTTGCTGTGATTTATCCTTCATTTATGGGCTCAGGGAGGGAAGGGCACAGCTACAGCAGGACATCCAGGGCAGGGGCACTGGGGGACGTGCCAAGCTCTACAACGCCCAGTCCAGGTGCCAACCCACCTCCACCCAGCAAGGCTGGGAAGGGAGCATCACTGGCAAACTCACCTGCACCACCAGCCAGGAGAGGATCACTGCCATTACTGGGTTCCCGCTGGCAGATGTCTTCTTGGCCAGCACCAGCGCCCGGCCTGTGGGCAGAGGGGGGAGGTTGGGCTGGGACATCCCAGCAGGCACCAAGAGGCTCGGCCACCAGCCAGGAGTCCTGTCCCCACTCTGGGTGCTGGGGTGGGGGCAAACACCAGGGCATGCAGGTGTCCCAACTGGGCACACACCAACCACAAAGCATCACCCCCACACCAGGAAGGGGGTTCCCTGGTGCCAGGGCTGGTCCCTGGCAGGGACAACATGTTGGGTGGGCTCTGGCAGGTGTCAGTGCACTCCGGGCACTCACCAAAGAGATCATCCCGGGCCAGGGCATAGAGGATGCGGGATGCCCCAATAAGGTTGCTCATGGCTGCGGAGAGAGTGGCAGCGTAGATGCCCACGGTGACCAGGGGTGGGAAGATACTGATGTCACGCAAGAAGCCGTAGTCTTTCTGCAGGAGGGTCCTGGAGAGGGACACGGACATGCTGGCACCTGCCTTGGCTCAGGCCAGCACACGCCGGCACCGGGCACACCCTGGCACCGATGGCCCTGGCAAGGAGACGGGTGGCTGTACCTGTTGCAGGTGGCACACATGAGGAAAGCCAGCAGGTTGTAGACGAGGTAGGTGAAGAGCACGGCGGAGATGGTGCCCCGCGGGATGGAGTAGCTTGGGCGCTTCAGGTCCCCTGCGGGCAGGAGTGGGCAGCAGCAGTGCCCACAGGCACAGCACCCCCTTGCTCTCCGCTGGCCTCAGCTCCTGCTCCCAGTGCCACCCAGCCCAACACCCCTCCTGCCCATACCTGACATGTTGGAGCCTGCCATGATGCCAGTGCAGCCGTTGAACATCACCGCGAAGACGGAGCTGAAGCTCATCATCTGCCCAGTGGTGTAGTCCACCTCGTACCCACCTGTAGGACACAGGGGCACAGCCTGTCTGGGACAGCATAGCCCCACCATATACCCTCTCCTTGATGCCCCCATACACAAACCATGGGAGAAACCAACCCATGGCACCAGCTGCATTCCCACAAGCTCCCCCCACCCTCCAGCGAGCCCCTGCTGATGTGGAGGGGCCAGTGCCACAGCGGGTACAGCGGGCAGTGTGGGGAGAGCCTCTCCTCACCTCCCAGGTTCTCTCGCAGGGTGGTGAGGGAGAAGCCAGTGAAGGATCCGTTCTCCTTGAAGTACGGCAGGCGGATGGGCACCCCAATGGGCCGCATGGCAAAGAAGCTGATGAGTACGGTGCCCAGGACACCCGCGACGATGAGGAAGATGAGGAAGGTGGCCTTGGCATAGATGGAGGCACCCACGAGGCACACAACGAGGCAGAGGGCCAGCAGCACGGTGCCGTAGAGCAGCTCATACCAGTAGCTCTGGGGCAGGACGTGGACGCCTGTGCCCACTTTTTGCCCTGGGAAGAGACAAGCCAGTATCAGTAGGGCTCAGAGGGAACATCACTGGGAGCTGAGAGCCACCAGCATTGTGCCAGGCATGACGGGCACCAACTCACTGGCCAGAGGGGTGGGTAAGCTGTGCTGGCTATGCTGGGCATGGTGCTTGGCATGCCTGGCAGGGCACTAGGGCTGCTCGGGTAAGGGACGCCTGCTATCCCCTGCCACCACACACGGGGGTACTCACCAGGTGGGATCCCAAAGCTGTCCACCACTGCCTCCACCAGCCCCAGCACATAGAGGGCACTGCCACACACATTGGCCAGGAAAAACATGATCCCAATGCTGCCCCCAAACTCTGGGCCTAGGGCACGGCTGATCATATCTTGCTCAAGTCAAAGGAAGATGTCAGCAACCCAAACCACCACTGCGTGCCCTCATCCCTCCCTCCCAGACCAAGGGGGTCCCAGGCCCAGCATGGCACCCCAAGGTCATTGGGTGGTCACCCGATTTTGGCCCTCATGCCTTGCCCCAGCAGCACCCACAGCAAAGGATACAGTAGGCTCCTCCGGCATCCAGCGCCCCGTTGGTGGCAATGGCGCACACGGACAGCACTGTCATGCCAATGATGAAGTATGCCACTGCGAACATGATCAGGGCTTGATACAATCCGGCATGGCCCACAACGAACCCTGGTGAGGATGGGGGAGAGGCCAGCATGCCCGTTAGGTGGGCACGGACCACTGCCAGCACAGGGTCCTCAGCCACGGCCACTGCTCAGAGCTCGCAGACTGCTCCCATCCCTGTGCCCACAGCTCCCCCCAGACATGCCACCCTCTTTCCTACCAGGGTGAGGATGTCCCCATCCCAGGGTGCTGCCACCTCCCACCCGCAGCAGCACCCAGGGCCAGCCCAGCTGGTGCCCCCCACTTCAGGGCATCTCCATCCTCCTGGCGTGCCAGGACCAGGCCTGGGCGCACCCTGGGCACAGCTCAGAGGGGCACACCCAAAAAGCAAATAAACAGGGCAGGGGTTCTGCTGCCCACCCAGCCCCAGGGCACTGCTGGGAGGGTTGCCAGGACCCCCGAGCCCTGCTGCCACCCTCAGCAGGCAGAGGCTGCCTTGCACCCCAGCTCCGGCACCGGGAGCTGATGGGCTCCCCAGGGGGGTTCGCGTTGCCGCCGCAAAGCAGGAAGCAAAAGCAGCCCCGGGGTGTCCCTGCCAGCCTGGGCACCGCTCCCTGGTGTGTGTGTGTGTCTCTGTGTGTGTGTGTGTGTCTGTGTGTGTCCCACCGCGGGGACAAGGCACCCAGAGCCACCCGCGGCCCAGCCCGGGGTGACGGAGGCGAGGGCAGGAAGGGGCTGCCCGCGGGCGCAGGGCGATGCCC